GCATGTATTGTGCCGATTTAGAGAATAAGCATATTCGTTCTCATTTGCTGGATCCCTGCATATATTTTATCCGCTGTAATAGATTCCGGTTCTTCTTGTCCGTCTTCATGATCTGTTAAGTTATTGATAATGTCACTATCATTTACGGTTTCGTCCTCAATCATTTCAATAAGATCATTTTCGCTGAAAGAGTCAAAACCTTCTCCGCAGATTTGATGTGCTAGCGCAATGATATCTGATGATAAAGTGGACGTGTTGACCGCTTTCCAGCACTAGGTATGAAAATGGCTGTTGCAATGTGTACATACACACTGATAGCAAAAAAAGTGATGCCAACACAGTTCAGATTGACCTAACTTCTCGGCGAAATTCAATGTGTCGATATTCATATACCGCACAAAAAAAGAATCGCACAAAAAGAATCGCACAAAAAAAAGCGCATAAAAAAAGCACGCACAAAAACAGGTTTGACAGTAGTATAGAAATTTCCAGCAATATCAGTTGGCTAAAATTACACATCACATCCGTTGACGTCTTTCCTATTTACGTTTCACAGAACATTTCTGTTTCCGCTAGCTGGTTTTTCCTATACATCGTTTATAAAAAAAGTACTATGTGTGGTGAATGAAGACAGCACAGAGTTGCTTTTAATAAGTACTAAATAAATAAGAGAAATGGTGAATAAAAAATCTCTCACATAATTCAATCAATAACATAATTCAAAATTCCAAACGCTCACTTAATTCAATTCAATAACATAATTCAAAATTCGACAAGGTCCATAACTCAATTCAATAACATAATTCAAAATTTCATACTCTCACATAATTCAATTTAATAACATAATTGAAAATTCCATACCCTCACTTAATTCAATTCAAAATTCAATAACAGAATTCCAAATTTCATTCAATTGAACAGAAATGGCAGGAACACATCTGTTAAGTGGGAAGAAATGAAGGGAAAACTCGTAGCTGGATACATGGTTCTGCTACAGCTGGTGTACTTTGTTACGAAAATACAGAGGTCGGGTGCACAAAAACAAAGAAACAAATCCCAATGAATGCTTCCGTCCATCGCCCGAAATAAGCTCATAACCAAAATCACGCAGTTTTAAAATTTTTTTTTGTCCGCGTTAATTGTATACTCGGAGTTTGGGTAAATTACGAGAGGATCAGGACGAATGTTTACCGAATTGAAAAATTGTCTCACTGGAAGTTTTAAGCGATTCCAGTTTATCTTTCTCTTTAAAACTACTCGAACGGTTGTCGCCTTTACCGGCCAAATCCGCGGCAGAATAACTGCTATCTGATGATGAATGCGTATATTCATGTACATTTATATTTCAAATATTTTTAGGTGATAGAGGATTTCCGTTAGAGCCGTGGTTACAGAGGACTGGTCGCTCCAATTAAAAAAAATATACAATCATATTTATTGCAAGGAGATGAAAATTATTAAGTCTTTTTATTTACTAAGGTCGCAGGTGCTTTTTAATGGAAAAGCAGTTATAATTCAAGAAAAATGATAAGATCCGTGAAGGTTAATGCAGCTCTCCACATCTGCTTACATTACAAAGTGAAAACTCCGGAAAGCGATTCTTCCTCCTGGTAATCAGAGATCATTATTTCAGATACATTAACACGACGCTGTTTTTCAAATATATTGAGTTTTTTTGAAACTAAACGGGACGAGACAATTTTGAGACCCAAATGGTCTTTCAAAATCGATTGCATCGACCCAATCGATATTTTCGTGATATCAACAAGATCTCTAATTGTCAACCGACTATTACCAATTACTAGGGCTTTGATTTTGTTGATATTTTCATCAGTTATTGAGGTAGATGGCCTTCCCGGCCGTGATTCGTCTTCAACTGCTTCTCTACCCTCTTTAAAATTTTTGTACCATTTATATACTTTTGATTGTGCCATTGTTTCATCGCCGTAACAATTTCTTAGCATTTTTAATACATCCGCACAAGCGATTCCATTCTTTAAGCAGAATTTGATGCAAATTCTTTGCTCAATGAATTTATTCATTTGAAAAACTTGTCACCAACTATTTTTTTTTGTGTTTGGTTTGTTTAGATTAATTAATTAGCCTTGTTGACTAACACCCACATCCAGTAGCGTGATAAATTGCTATTATTTGTTAACCCGTTGAGTTTTACAAGTTGTAGCGGCAGCATACATAAACTTTGGAAAGAATTGATGATACTGTTCTTCTAAATTTCACTTGATTTTTTTTTAGGAACGCGATATAATAATAATTTAATATTTCTTCTTGGGAAACAGCTGATCATGGTATTGCACGAGCAAATGTTTGTTTATAAATTGAAAATAAACCGAGACGCAACCAAATGGTTGTGTTTATAAATTGAAAATAAACCGAGACGCAACCAAATGGTTGTTTATAAATTGAAAATGAACCAAGACGCAACCAAATGGTTGTTTATGTTCTGATTTTTGAGCTTCGGATAGCTCGAATTTAATTTATTATTATTTTTTTTTTTTACATAAATAATTCTGTTAAACTGGTTAAACTACAAATAAACTTTACACCGTTGTAAAAAAATCGTTCATACACTTGCCGTTAAATGAGAATAAGTGGTGGGAAAAAACATAATACTTGCTGTTAAATGGGAATAAGTGGGAGGAAAAAACAGAGAGAGATAGACGAAATCTTATATTTAAAAATGCACTTTATGAATGCTACCTGTCGAAGTAACATAAGAAACGCGACTACGAAGTCGACATAACATACATTTATTAATAAAAAATATTGTAAAATGAAAGAAATTCAGAAATTTTATATGAAAACATATATTTATAAGAAGAATAAAGAAACATTAGATACTGAATAAATTGTAGAATTTGTGAAATTGAACAAATTAAGAAATGTACATCACGGTTTTGCCGACGGCTTTTGCTTTTTTGGTCCGTTGGTTCATGTTAAGTTTTTTTCCATGTTAAGTTGCGTGTTAAGTTGCTTTTTTGGTCCGTTATTTTACAGAATTGAATCCCTTTTGTCTGTTAAGTTGCGCGTTTAACATAGCTGATTGGCGTTAACATTTAAGTTGTTAAGTTGGGCTTTTATCCATTTATTTATTATAAGCGACTCTGTGCCTTGCCTTTCAACAGGGAATTTAGGGAGGACTTTGTTTAAAAATTATGACGGTTTAATTCTAAGCTAACTTGTAAAATAAAATAAATAAATCATTAAAAATCATCTGCTCCAAAATTAAGATTGCAATATTTGATATATTCAATGCTATACCTTGGATTATCTGCTTATTTCCATTGGGAGAGTTATTTGATCTAAGATTATGGAGGCAAATAAGTCATCGTCATCTTCATCCCAGTTTTACACTGATTAGATGGTACTAGAGCTAAAAAATTTATTAATTTAAATATTGTCTCATCGCACATTTTAAAAACAAATTACTTTCATTTACGTTGTACGTGTCCTTTTTCTCGATATAACCACGATCTGAAGCTTCTCCTGAAAAGAAGTACAAAGTTAGGGTTATTAAAAAAAGCCTGTAAAGAGCAACTTACTTTCTGAGATGGAATTGTCATCATTGTCATCAATAGCAGCCTTGAATTTTTCGCGGAGTATGTGTCAGATTCTCTGATTAAATAAAATTTCTTAATTGTATACAACAACCAAACAAAACGAAAATTTGAAAATTTAGCAAATATCAATTTATTTATTTATTTATTTTACTTGGACATTTTTCAAAGTTTACAACCAGTTTTACCGTTTGGACCATTGACGACCATATTTTTTTATCAATTTCTCATTTTTTTCTTTCAAATTACATTTAAGCTATATTCATTTCATATATTATACAAATTTTTCGTTGATTTTTTATCAATTTCTCGTACCCCAGTTGGATTTTTTTCCAATTTTTCATTTATTTCATCGATTTTTTTGCAATTGAAAATCGTTTGCAAATCGTAAATGTCTTGTATCCGCCTTGGAAACGCATTCATTAATAAAACGGAATGTGGACTTTCATTTTTCACATTAATATTATTAAAAGCACCATCGACCTTAAAACGGTAAACCGCTCTCACTTTCTTAATAAGATTTTCGTATGATACGCTGATTACTCCATTTCACTATCTTCTAATTTGCTTAATAATTCAGGCTTTCTGGTGCTAAAGCGATTATTGTTTCGTTGAGCAGGCTTTATTGATTATGTTGATGAAAATAAACGTACTGCATTGCGTTCGTATTACAGTGAAAAAAGTGAAAGTTGTACCCATTCCCTTGGCATGGTAAATAAGTTTAAATAAAGCTCTACACTATCCGGCGAACCCTTCATTTCCATACGGAGGACAAATCAAGGGTAAGATTTTTTAGAGCTCGATTGCGTGCGGAAGGAGGTTTTTGTTTAGCTGACCGCAAAATTTCCATAACATCATTGCAATCATTACAAACGGGCACCTGTTAAGTACGCATGTATTCTTTTTGATCCTGAGACAAGATTTGACACATCGTACATTCACCTCAAATTCAGAGTTTTTATTGAATTTCGAGAAACCTTCACGGTAAAGTAAATAAATTTCAATTGTGATTTTTTCATTAGACAATTGTGAAGCAATTGTTTTGGCGTCATCATTCTTTTTTGCTACATTCAGATATGTCATTTCTTTAAATTTAAAGCAACAAGAAAAATGTACTACTAAGTGAATCTTCTTAAAACATTCCAGTAAATTAATCTTTTAATTGATAACTGCTTTAAAAAATTTGAGAAAGTGGAATGACGATAGAGATGGAACATTTTCGGTAGGATTGATTTATAACACATTTATATAAAAACTGAAATGTATTACAAGGAAATGCGAAAAAAAATTTCTTTAATCCCCAGGTCTGGGATATAAATTTAATTTACAAATTATTTATATCTTGTAACGGCCGCGAACAAACCTTGGGTAGAGTGTCTGTCGGTCTGTGTCAAGCGCAAGTATCGCAATAACGGCATGCCGTTAGGCAAAATCGTGTGATTTTGTGGTACCGTTTATAAATCGCATGATCTTACGGGATATAATTGTTTTGTTCTTTTCTTCTTTTCCCTTTCATTAAGATGGGTAAAATCATGTGATTTTGCGGTATTCCTTTTTTTGCTTTTACAAAAACAGGCAAAATCGTGTGATTTTGCGGTATTCCCATTTTTCTTTTGCTTTTGCAAGAATAAGCAAAATCGCATGATCTTGCAGGATTTTGCTTGCTTTTGCGAGAGTAGCGGCAAGCCGCTATAGAGAGCAACAGAAAGAAGAAGAGAAGAATTGAGCAGGAATGAGAGGTCTGTCTGTGTTTTGTTTCGGAGATAGAGGCGAGAATCACTTGGCCTCTGCTGAGGTGCGCACGTGTCCGCGAGCTTGGTCTAAAACCGGATAAATAAAACTATTTTTAAAATTGAGCCTTCAAGTGCAACGAAAGAAAAAAAAAGGACAAAACACTAACAGCAACTAATGTGAGAGATCTTTTTAAAGTTCGTGTGTAAAGAAGATAGAATAGCGCTTAAAGCTTACAGTTTTGCAAAATAATGTCTAAAAATAATGGAAAAAGAAGTTATTAACTAGAACTTTATTAAAGAAATACAAGTCGGCAGGGATAAAATAATTGTTAAACGTTAAAAAAAAAAAAAAAAGGTTTGCTTGCATTGAGTAAAGAAATTTGAGGAAATCATCATTACTGCTATTTTCGATAAATTTCCATGTGTGCAATATAAAAATGCATGTACGAATGAGTGTATACAAATTATGTGAAGAAATTGTGTATTTGATAGAAAAAAAATAATAAGTAAAATATTATTATTATTATTATTATTATTTTATTTTTAGACTAACGAAATGAATTCTTAGACTAAAAAAAAGACATTGAGCACTAGCAACACAGGCTATCGGCTCTAATTTAAATAAATGGATATTAGATAGTGAACTTAGTAGTATTAAAAAAGTAATATATTGAATTGATATTCTGTTCTGAAGCTGATTGTAGAATGTTCAAAGGGTTAATCGTTCCAAATGCAATACTTCTAGCCGAGGAAAAGTTGAGGCAATCGCAGAGAATGTGCTTTATAGTAAGAGTTTGTCCACAACAGCAGATTGGGGGAGAAGACTTCTTCAGGATCCATTGGTGAGTTGCAATTGTATGACCAAGGCGAATTCTCGAAAATGTTTGGATCTTGGTTTTCTCAACGTTTGTTGGATATAAAGGTGGAGTTAATTGAGGGTTAATGCAAGAGTAGTGTTGATGATGGTATTGTAAATTTGCTTCTGCAATTTTCTCTTTAACTTTTCTTCCAATGTATCTTTGAAGATCCAACTTTTCCATGACATCATCCATAATTAGAGGAGCAGAAGCAGCATACTTTGCCGCTCGATCAGCCTGCTCATTTCCCAGTAAACCAATGTGACTTGGTACCCATAACATTTTAATTTTTCCGTCGGGTGTAGTAATTATATTCCTTAATTTGTTGATGGTGCTCCATCTCGAAGTCGAAGGATTCCGAACAACTTGTAATACAGACAAACTGTCGGTAACAATAGCGGTTTTGAGTTTGTTTTTATGGGCAAGGTTGGCAGCGTGAAGGATAGCTCTGGCTTCCGTTGTGAAAGTTGAAGTACTTTCGTGAAATATGTGGTTGAGAAGAACCCGTCCTGTAGCATCTACCACCGCACAAGCAGGACGCAGACCAGGAGATTTTGAGCCGTCTGTGTACAAAAGATTCCAACCAGTACTGTCCAATACTTGGGTTTTTTCAGCTATTAGATTCCTGAAGACGTAATTTGGAGTATCTTCTTTCTTGTGCATAGACAGTGAGATGTCAAAAGAGCAGTCTTTCAAAATCCAGGGAGGTTTAACACCAAAAGACAAACAATGGTCAGATGGTGACTTTGGAATTTTCTTCGCAATAATA